TCCGCCCCTGGGTAAGTGGACAAAGGTATTGGTAACTTTCTTATAAGTAGTAAAAGATTGTAATGAACATATTATATGATCAATCGCTCCTGTGTGAATGATCCACTTGTTATTAAATGTAAAAGTGATAGAAAGGGCTCAACTGTATTTACCCTGTGTGGCTGGAGCCTGAAAAATGTGGGATGCCACAGAGTTGGACCTGCTAACAATGTGGTGTAATCCAGAACCATCATTCTCAGTAGAGTGAGATGGGTGAAAAGTTTGATTACCCATGAAGACATCTGGAAAGTTGGGAGAATGAGGTGCTGGTTGTTGAGAAGCTGCTAGCACTCCTTGCTTCGAGAAGCAGTATTGTGAGAAAATGGTTGCATAATTTGCATCATTTTGTGATATTGCTTCTAGAAAGTCATCCAGTCAGCTTGATTGACCATGATTGCACCACTAGATGAATATTCACCATGTTCAACAATAACATTGTTGGCTTGACGTAGTGGATTCTTCTTCTTTGGTTGGTAACCTGGTGGATAGCCATTTTTCTTATAGTAAATATCCTCAGTGACCAGTGTAGCCACAGTAAGTATATACATGCATTTTTCCTTGTTTCTTAATCCCCTGACTGGTCCCTGAACACCTAAATTATTACCATCATCTCTGGTTAAGAATGCCATACTATCTGCAGTAGGATTGGGGTTATGCTGGGAACTAGGTTTAGGTAGCAGATTGTTCTCTCGTTCATGCTGAACCATCATTGCAAAAACCTTGTTTAGAGGAGGTAAATGATCAAACATCATGAAAGTTGATCTAAGGGCATTGAAGCTATCATTCAAGTTCCTCAAGAACCTAATTACTTTGTCATTCATGTGATATTTCCTAAGGGAAGCAATGATATAAAGATAAAATGCTCCATATTCACAATCAAGGATAGACCTAATATTAGCCAATAGATCCTATAGTGCTCGTTGCTTAGAGTAGTATTGTGAGACACTGAGTGTACCTTGCTTGAGCTGGAATATTGACTCTTATAAATCAGCAATTATGAACGAGCCTCCCTGAGAGAATTGCTCTCTCAATTTATTCCAAGCACCAATTGGAGTTGTGACATAGAGAATGCTCTCTGCAATTGTAGGATTAATTGATCGTTGAATCCAACTTAGTAGGAGTTTGTTGTTGCGATTCCAAGGCTCAAGAAGAGGAGAATCGTCTGGTGGCTGTGGAATCTTGTCGTTTAAGTACCCAAGCTTGTTCTTGCCATCGATGAACAGAATCATCGATCTCTCCCAGCCAGAAAAGTTGTTTTCAGTCAGTGGCTGCGATACAAAGCATTGACCCCCAATTCTCCGGATGATGAATGAAGAAAGGAGATGCCGGATCAGAAATCGCTTTGTCGAGATATGAAATTCTACCAGAACCGTGTTGGCGACCTCCACTGTGAGGTTTTTAGGCTCCGAAGCCAGAAGGAAGAGAAAAATTCGACGCCATAGGAGGACGCGAAGAAAACTGCAGTGAAACCGAAATTTGTTGAGTCTGCTGAAGCGAGAAAGCGAGTGAGGCGACTCAGAAGAGCTCTGGTACCATGATAGAATCTTTGATTATGGAAGATTAAAGAAGAAATTATGTTTTAATGAATGAGAAAAGGTTGTGAATTATAGAGTAATACACAGTATTTATAGTCTAACCTAATGAGGAAACTGACTGAGCGGGAACTTTCCTAATCCTTAACTAACACTAACGAACCTATACCTATTTACATTTTATTAGCTAGATATTGGGGACCAGATCACGTCAGTAACTGATGGGTCAGTAACCCATCAGTAACCCCTTCCCTTGTCTCCACGCGTCAGTCCCTTTTTTTATTTAAATTAAATGTGAAAGGACAGTAAAGTAAAATTGCCCTGCCCCTATTTATTGCCAACGCTGACTTTTGACCAGACCACATCAACGCCTCCTCTCTCCTCGAAAAACCTTTCATTTTCATTCTCTTAATCTTTAACAGACGATTTCTTACTCGTTTTAAGTCGGAATTTAATTTTTTTTGCACAGTTAGATCAGATTAATTGTGCTCTTCAAAATGATATCCACTTTGATATTTTTTGGACATAAAAAAATTTGCCAGTTATTACCAGTCTATACCATATGGTATTGACTGATATTAAATAAGATCATACCATATGGTATGAAAAAATTTGCCACATCAATATATATTACGTTACCAGTTATCACCCAATACCATATGGTATAGTGTGGTAATATCAATATATATTTCGTTACCACCCAATACAATATGGTATAGTGTGGTAATATCAATATATGTTTCGTTACCACCCAATACCATGTGGTATAGTGTGGTAATATCAATATATAATTCGTTACCACACAATACCATACATTACCATATGGTATAGTGTGGTAATATCAATATATATTTCGTTACCACCGAATACCATATGGTATAGAGTTACAATATCAATATATATTATCTAAAAGAAAAAAAAACAGAAGGAGGTAGAGAACAAAATCATCTTCTGTCGCCTCTCATTTCCTCTTTCGCAATCAAGAACACCAAAATGCCGAAAAATGAGAAAGATCGAAATTGAGGCCAACGAGATGATGAAGAGAAGAAATGCAATGAAAGAGAGTGGCTGCAATTTTTATTCGTCCTGGAGAAAAAATAAAGAAGAAGAGAAAGGAGCAGATTTAGATCTCAAAAGGAGATTGGGAGAAAAAAAGGAAGAGAGAGGATTTGGAAAAGAGATTGGGAGAGCAAAAGGAAGAGAGAAGGAAGAGAGAAAGATAAATGAGAGTTGCAGAGAAATAATGGTTTCTCTTTCCTTCTTTGAAAATGCTGTCATTTAATACGAAATAAAATAAAATAAAGAATTTAATGTATAAATGGACAAAAATACCCTTCTCCACTTAGCGTCCGGGCCAACCACACGATTGCCTGCCTCCTATATCTACGATCACTATTTATTACTGGCCCTATCTCCTGCCTAGCTATTGTAAGTTTACATTATGGTCCTATATTCTAATAGGTCCACCTCTCACCGTGAAGAAAGGCAGAGCCAGAGAAGAAGGAGAAGCATATATGGCGTAGAAGACGGAGAAAAAAGAGACGGAATTCAAGGTACTTGAGACCCTGCTAAGTTTGGTCCGCTCCGTCTTCCTTCTAGATCTTGCAATTAAGTCGCGCCGGAGATTGCCACACCGCTTCCACGACTGAATTGCCCAAATATACGGTGGCCTCGAATCGACCTAAAGTCCGACAGGAGCTCCGATTTGATTTGCCCCCTCAAAATCAAAAAAGTTTCTACCGAAAAATTTGTATTTAAAAATGACAACGAACTATACAAAAATTAACATGAACAAATTATATTAAGGCTTCAATAAGTCATTTTTAAGTAAATGGAAAAACTGAAAAAATTAAGATCCCCAAATATGGAGATTGAAACAAAAAAAGGGAAAATGAGGATCAATCCCCAAATCTGGAGATGAAGGCCCCAAATTTTGGATTTTGCATTGGACTTGGCCTTATAATCTTGTTTCTGTTCAGTAAACAGAATGACATATAGGACTATCAATTGAATTCACTTCGCATATGTAGGAATATGTAACACGTATTTTGTGTGCATTGTTTAAGGTGCAATAATAATTTAGAAACAACATTTTCAAATGTCTAAACTATATATACCAACACTTACAGGTTAGCTCACCGTCGTCCCAACGCACACAAATTCCAAATTAGTACCACTAAAGCTCAAATGCACGAATTCATAATCAATGATAATTTTGAACATTACATTGCATTGTACGCTTTAAACTTGTGGATATGGTCATTCACCCAGGCCGAATTGAGAGGCGATGTGAAATGATTTCAAGTGGCTTGGAATCTGGGTTACCATCGAGTCAACATGAAACTTGACTCTCGTTGTGCCATTAAGCTCCTTCAAAGCGAGGACATTTCAGATCACCAGTGTATTGCCATATGTATAAGGGGCTAATAAGTGCAGACTTTCTAGTTAACCAAGATCATTCTGTGGATCTTGGTTTCCATTTTGTTCCGACAACTGATTCTGCTTTTATAGACATCAGTGGGCTAGTTTCGCTGGTTGTGGCTTTTGTAGAAGCAGTTTATGACTTGAGCTCTTAGAGAAGTACTTTTTTAAAATAAACTGTTGAGTGTTTGGTTGAAAAACTATTAGAAATGCTTTTTAATATAAGATGTTATGAAAAAATTACTAAAAAGGATTTTCTAATATAAAATATGAATAAAAATTCTAAAAACTAAAAAGTAATCAAAATGAATCTTGTTAGATTTCTTTTATATTAAATAATAGTATCTCTAATTTAATTTATTTTTAAAATGATAGGAATGAAATAAAATTATATTTTCGGAAATAAAATTAAAATATGGTAAGGATAATATTGTATTTTTAAAACAGCTTTTCGCTGAAACTCAAAATCGGAGCTTCTGCTTCTATTATATATATAAAAAACTTTTCTGTTTTTCAAAAGTCGAGATTTTAAAGATATTTGGCCCGGTTTAAGTTTTTAAAAGTATAAAAACACTTCTAAAAATCGGACCAAATATAGGCTACGCATGATTTTGAGGTGATTTTCCAACCCATCTTATTTTGCTAGAAGAATTCAATGTGTTAGAATAGTTGTGTATTTATAAAAGACAGCAAAAGATATAGAAGATTATTTTATAAAAAATAGGAACCAAATTACTCTTACAGTTTATTCACTTTTTAGCAATGATTAAACAAATATTCGGGGTCTCTCTATAGTCTATACGCTTTACATCTCAAAGTCACCGTCACAGACAAACACAATAGAATAAATCTAATTTTTCCAATTTCCCCTTGTATAACCTCCCCTCCTATTTACTCTAAAAAGAATCTGTTTTTTCCCCTTGTGTGGTTTTTTTTTTTTTTTTTTATTCTCCACCCTTCTCTGTACTCTCTGCTTACAAGAAATCGCCGACGAGTGAGAAACAAACTTCAGTTCCTCCACGTCGACGACACTCTCACCAATGGTGTCCCTTTCCACTCCAGAACCATCTCATTCTCCGATTCACCTCCGGTCCTCACTCCGTACGAAGTCTGGCTCTCCTTCACCATCTCCTTGGCTTCCTCCAAGCTCTCTCTGCTCACTCTCCACTTCTCCATGATCTCCTTCCTCCCCTTCCCCTTCCCCTGCATCTCACTCATCTCCACCCATCTCTGGAACCACGCCTCCGACGATATGAACGGCGCCACGAACAGACATTCCAGCGCCATCCTCGCCTCCGCCAGCTCCGGGAAATTCAGCTCAATTGACTCCAACAAGGACATGTAATAGACCATGTTCCCTTCAAAGAAGGACCCGAACCCAGAGCAACCCTTCAAATGCTCCCAAGCTTCGCCGTCTCCCCGAGTCACCATCCCTCTCCCCGACTCGGCCACCAACTCGTTCGCCGTCGTCAGGAATTCCTCCACCAATTTCCTGCTCCTCACCCTCCTCATGTGCGGAAGCCCCACCATACAATTGAACACGCGCCACTCGCTCGCTCGCTTCGCTCCCCTGATTCCCCCTGCCAAATCATCGATTCGGGTTGATTCGATGATCAGGTTCGACCCAACCCGACAAGAATGGTCCATCAGCCGTGCCTTCACCTCCTCCAGATTCCACATCGCCGGCGCCCAATCGGAGTCCTGATCCGTTCCCGTGGCTTGCGATTCCCAATCTACGACTGTCAGTTTGACCTTCTTCCCGAGGCGAGCCAGAGCCTCGATCACCGGCGGCCACTGGACGCCTTCCCCGACGTCGAAATCGACGATGTGTACGGTCTCGGCTTCTGCCGGAATCGACTCGACCATGGCCGAATTGGCGGCGAAGTGAGCGAATCGGCCGTAAGGGAAGATCTGGTAGAAAGCCCTGAATGCGGATTCGAAGTTCTTGAGCGCCTCTTGCTTGATGTAATCCACTTCCTTCTGCAGATCCTGCGACAGATTGAAAGCCAGCCGCTCCAGGGAGTCGCCGGCGGGGCTGACTTTCTCGCTCACGTTGGCCATGATGACGTCACCCAGCTCCCTGTGCCCTCCTTCCATCGCTTCCCCGTAGGCCTTCAGCAAGTGGAACACGCTGATCTGGTTGCCGAGTTCCGACTCCTCCATCGGTATGTCCAGCGCCGGATTCGGATTCGCTACTTCCATTGGCGAATTGGCGTCCTCGCTGGATAAGATCGAAGGAGTGGGGCTCCAGTAACCACCGTCTTGATTGTTATCCCGTTGGCTGCTGTCGCTGAGGTTCGGGTCGAACCGGTCCAACCCGGTCAGCAGCTCGTCGGTGGACAAGGTGATCATCCCGAATCCGTCGTCGTCTGACGCGGGAGAGTCAGCGAGGTCTTCGGCGGTGAGCATGGAGGAGAAATGATGATCCATTATGAGGTCCATTTCGTCGACGTCGGCGGACTGCGGCAGGGTGAAGGAGGAAGAGAAGTCGGCGGCGGAGGCGGAGGGGTCGAGAGTGGAACTGATGACATTGTAGAAAGGCCAAGATGGCTGATAATTATCTTGAAATTGTTCCTGGTAAGTCGACGCCATTGCTGAAAGAAATGGTTTCCGATGTGGGTTGTCTTTGTGTTTTGTGGGATGATGAAAGAGAGGAGGGGAGGAGGATGAGGAGAGCTGGAGAGCTGAATTATTTGGGATGGGAGGGAAATCAGTCTTTATAGTTATGAACGTAATTAGTGTTTCTGGAGAACTCGATAAAGTTTAACTAATTAAATTACTCTTTGTTTTTTATGGGGTTATAAAACAGACGGTTTGGTTTGTTTTGTATAGGCACAGAAAAAGGACGTACGACTGCAGCTGTACAGTAACTGCCGTGGCAAGAGTTCGCGTAATTATCCAAAATGGCCACTTAGCTTTTTGTGCACCTCAAAATGATGGTATAATTTTGAAACTTGTGAGAACAAAGACATTTTCATCCATTTCGAATTTCGATCCAAACCCGACTAAATTGATGAATAACGTGCCAACCTACTCTACTCATATGCGATCCAAACCCGACTAAAACCCTGAATCCACATCCAATAAGTAGGTCCAGGTGTGGATTTCATTTGCAGCTCGGGAGGGTTGTCTATGGCCCCAACTAGCCATTTTTTTTTTATAAGTTTCAAAGTTCAATATATTTTTGACCTTAAGTATATAAATTCAACACTATACCGCTTGTACGAAAATCTGGCAAATCTGTAAGAGCAAACGATAAGTGTTTTATTGCTATCGATGAACACAAAGAAAAATTTCCTCAAATGTAGGTTATAAAAATAGTCGAATATGAGGCTACGCCAACTTTACCACTTGACCAACTCTATAAGTTTCAAAATTCTATCATCATTTTAGGAAAACATAATAACTGTATGATCATATGATATAGATGTCCAAGTTATGTGGCCATTATTGATAATGACCTGGAAGAGTTTATGAGGTTGCCATCTGTTTCTTCATCTTCTTCTTCTCGGCTAGGAAGAGTTGTTCAAATGCTTGTCTCCTAGTCCTAATGCGTGGCACTGTGGCAACTGGCAAACCCCTTTCAACAATTTTTATTTTGTGAAGAAATTCATTTCGTATTATGGAAAAAACAAACTAGGAGATAGATTGCATGGATATCATGCGCACTGTTTCTTAATTGTTTGATCGCAGAAGAAAATCAAGCCTCAATTTCTCGTGTCTCTTAATTAGAATTTTGTCCTCCTTGTTTTCTGTCCAAATCATGTTGGTACAATAGGTTTCAATTGGTATTGGATAGCAAACTGGTTTGGATGACCCCTGCACGAGTGGCAATTAAAATTGATCAAATTTGTTCAAAGTCGATTAAAATCGAGAAAGCTGATGGTTGGATCGAAATGATTGATTTTCGATCACTAAACAAAATGACGCTATTTTGATAAAATTAATTAACAAAACAATGTTTGGATTCAAGTATAAATGTTTGAATGTTGACACTAACTTTTGTATTAAAATATGCAAATTTATCATTTTGTTTGTAATGTTGTACTTCATTTAAACATAAATGTAGATTGAAGAGAGATTATCTTGATATATATATATGAATGGTTCTATCGTACACCAGGCAAAATGTAGAATTTGATGATGCGGAAGTACAAAAAAACACAGAACACGAGATTTTACGTGGTATCCTCGATCGATTGATTGATCGAGACTAATCCACGGTGAGCTCATAAGAGCTCACGACTGATCTCTTATTAGGATTACATCTTGACGGCTTGCTATCACACAAGTCGATAGCTAAGCTTATATAGATAAACTTAGGGTTAAAACCCTAATCCAACGAATCAGACGAGGCCCAACAAGGCCCAATACTAACACGGTTTAAGTAACCGCAACACTCCCCCTCAAGCGAAGACATGAATGACAAGAATGTCAAGCTTGAAGAAGTAAACGTGAAGAACAAGCATGATGGCTTGAACCACAAAACTCGAGATGATAACATCTCAGACTAGGTTGATTGGAGACGACTGACTCTCTCTGAACAACCTGATGATAGAGACGATTGACTGCGTCTCTTGAACTGGAACACACTTGGTACATCGCGGTCGACCTGATGACTGAATTAGTCGACCGTCGTATGTTGACCTCCTATTCTCCCCCTCAAGCTGGAGCATGAACAACGTGAATGCCCAACTTGAAAAACGATGAATGGTTGATATGTGCCCACTAATGAACCGGAAGAGGGGACGACCATTTCTTGGATCGTGAATGTCAGCTGGACGATGAAGGGACGATTACTTCTTTGATCGTACAACCTTTTGAACGCCAGGGGACGACCATTTATGGATCGTGAATGCCTCGACCTATACTTGACTGTATTTGATGACAAAAGCCTGCAAAATAAAATTGCTAGCCCAAAATCTAATTAAAGAGCCCATAAGAACCCTTACCAGATATGGGAGCCCATAAGGGCTATTTCGGCAACACATGGAAAATGAATGTCAGCATGCCCAATTTTGGATTTTGGGCGGCCCATTCGTGTGAAGGGAGGAGAGATGGCCCGTAGGGTTGGGCTAAAACCTCATTTTCCATCCCTCTTTCTTTTCTCAAGTGAAATCTGTCGTTCCCCTTTCCTTTTCTTCTTCCTTCCACGGCGGCGCGGCAATGGATGCAGCAGCACAGGACAGCAGACGGATGAGAACGACAATGAAGAATGAATGGCGGTGATGATGATGGCGCATCGACTGGATCTAACGGAGGAGATCGTTTTGTTCTCGCTGCCGTTCCTCTCAGCATCCTCGTCGTCCGGCCACGGGCAATGGTGACGGAAAGCAGGGACAAGGACGACGATCTATAACAAGAGCACAGTCGATGATAGCGACAGCAACAAACTAGAGTCTCTTTCTCGACGGCGGGAAGGACTTCGCCGTCGGATTACGAAAGGAGTAGAGGCGGCGATGATACAAGTTGTCGTGGAGCCGGGATGATCAACTTTCTTGGCGAGGGACTCCAGCCTATAACCTTTGTATGTGTTGTGACTCAAAGTCAAACAAGGCAATTAAACTGCGACTCCCAACTATGGGAACACCACCGCACAAGAGACTTGAAAACGACCCAGCGATGAGAAGACTACTTCTTGACGGACCAGATTTGGAGTAGTCTTGATGGCGGCTATGTGACCTTTGATTAAGATGAGCCATCTGAATGATGGCATAACCTCTTGCCAAAACAAAACTAACGAGCGGGAACTATAAGCTGGAGAAGCGGATCCCGGCTACGGCTTTAAGCGGCGGACACGAAGACAGAAGCTTCACAGTCAAGGGTTTGCTTCTGTTTGTTGCGGATCATGGATTTGATGAAGACGAGAAACGACGGCGGGAGGGATTTTGCTTACTGCACCTCGTTTGTCTTCGATGAACGGGACTTGGGATGCGGACAGCTTCGTTAAGACGAAGAACGTCCGAGCAGCAGGAGACAAGTGACGATCCGGACGGGAATTGCATTGGACCAGCTATGGGCAATTCCCTCGGTACTCATGACGGCGAAAATAGACGTATGTTGATCTCGGAAAGACACTGCGGAAGATTGCAAAACCCTGGTAGATCGAGGTTTGCTCTGATACCATGTAGAATTTGATGATGCGGAAGTACAAAAAAACACAGAACACGAGATTTTACGTGGTATCCTCGATCGATTGATTGATCGAGACTAATCCACGGTGAGCTCATAAGAGCTCACGACTGATCTCTTATTAGGATTACATCTTGACGGCTTGCTATCACACAAGTCGATAGCTAAGCTTATATAGATAAACTTAGGGTTAAAATCCTAATCCAACGAATCAGACGAGGCCCAACAAGGCCCAATACTAACACGGTTTAAGTAACCGCAACACAAAATATTGTGTATGTCGTACACCAAACAATCTCCATTGTACGCGTTCATTTCAAAGGTCAGTAAAATTGCGGGTTTATGGTAGAGCTAGAGCCCGGGAAGGTTCTTCTCAACCTGTTGTATAATCATTGGAATTTGGATTCTTAAGGGAAGAAATTATTCGGGCCAAAAACAAGGGAATTATGTAACATCCTGAATCTTTTTCCGACGAAGATATTGTCCGCTTTGGGCCTTTACACCCGCACGGATTTCGACTTGGGGTGCAATTTAAGGTGACTTCCCATAAGGTTCCCCATCCTTGTTGTACTCCACACTGAGCACGTTTAACTTCAGAGTTCTCACAAGAACTCCTCAATTTCACCCCAAAACGCGTCTTGTCAGTTAAGGCCGGTTTCTTACTTATGAACCATGGATCTCTCCCGTGCTTTGTCGATGTGGGATTTGCCTAAGGTGTTACAACTTAACTCTCATCCTAGGAGTTAGCAGGTATAATCGAATCTAGACCGACCTGTTATAATAATTTCATAAACATGTGGCTCTTCACTCTTACTATGAGAGGAACGAAGTAGCTCGAACAAAGTGAGAGTAGTTAAAGGCTCCATCTTCTGGTGGTTACTCTTCGGTGAAATAAGATGATGCAAGAAATGAAGAGATAGAGGAAGCAAGGAAAATGAAGGAGATTGAGGGATATTTGCTTATGTGTATTTCGTTTTTTAATTGAATTTTTGTTTTTCAAATTTTTGGTTTGTTTAAGAAATAAAATGGTGGGGAGTTTTTCTTATAATATTTTTTTTTATTACTTTCTTTGTACCACGTGGCTTCCATGTTATCAATATTGTGTGACTGGGCAGTGACGTGGCGGGATGATCGTCCAACATAATGGTAAACTCTCGGGTTTGGTTAATTTAGCAAATTTGATGATTAGTTGAGGCCACGATGTCATAGATCAAAAAGATTGACAGGGATGTTGAATATGCGCAAAGTTAGGGCGAGACGAAAATATTAACCTAATAATTAATGGGTTTGGTATTAGTAAACTTACTTCTTTTAGTGCATACTATATACTTTATTCATAAGATAGTCATCATTCTCATTATTCGATTCATATAAAAAATATATGGACTTTTGGACTAAATATTTAATTATCCCCATCTGTCAATGCCAAAGATGCACTTCAACAATTGAAACTCAATTTA